CTTGCATTCCTCTGGAAAACCCTGTTGCCATCATCATGGGTGTGTGTGTGTATGTATGCATCTCACACATTACATATAGATTACACATCTCATACATGAAATATAATCTATACATAATATACGATATATATACATATATATAGTTAAATCTTACAAGAGTCACATATTATCATCAAGAAACTCTATCTGAAAAGCAAGTTCATATAAAGCTGACCTGTGTTAAGGAGAAAATATAACGCTATATTAAAGGTCGAACTCAACAACAGGTGAACTATATTAAAGGCCAAGCGCGCGGGTCACTGAACGGCGTGGTGAGCGGACCCCCACGCCGTCCCCTGCAGACCCTCCCCCTGTGGGTCACATTTCTGTTGGGCAAGGTTCCACCAGGGCCCCAGGGACCCGCCTAGGCCGGTTACTTGTGAGCAGGGCCTTGTGTCTGTTTCCACGCAGCGCCACACACTCACGCACACTCACACACACTCACTGACTCATCGGAAAACAGATCCACTGAGCCAGACCTGCGACACTTCTCTCAACTCCTGTTCCCAGTGACGCCCCGGCGGCAGGCGTTTGGGCGGCCCTGGGGACTCGGGTCGTTTGCCTGTCCCAGTCACGGAGGGCGTTCGGCCTGGGCACTCCCCCCTCCCCCCACAGAGCCTGCGCCCGCCCTTCTGGAAACATTCTTGTGGAATTCCAAGAAAGTCAGTATATTCTAAAGGAAATTCTGACTTTGGTACAGGATTTATTTTCAGGGTCTTTCCGTGGTAAAAATATCTGCTGGACCATTTAAGGAAACACCATCCTGCACTGCCGATGGGGTCCCTCCTGCTGTTTGCAGAGGTCCAGGACCACGGGGGAGGCGAAGAAAACTGCCCGTGTTCGGGAAGGTGGGACCCGCTTCCGGCTCTGCACGGCCGGCTCTGCGCAACCCACGGAAGGCGGCGGAATGACAAGGACGCACACTGCCCTGTTTGTATTACAGCTCCGACGTCTGTGCAAAGTGCAGAGGGGAGTCAGTGCGGGCACACACCTGTCTCTGACCACTGAGTGCCCCGGGTGACACGTCCAGTGGGCACGGTCTCGGAGCCAGTAGGACAACAGACTAACCCCCCGCAACAAAAAGCGCTGTCTGCAGTGGACGCAGACTTTTTCCATCGGTAGTGGGTTGCCCTGCCCTGCTATTCGGAAACCTGTGTTGCTTCATGAACATCTGCTGTTCTCTGCACTGCAATTGTCCAGGGACGCCTGGCCGTTCTTCCTGGCCTGTGGTGTCAGGTGCAAAACCACCCCTCAGTACACAGGGTGCTCACCCAAGAGGGTTCGCCAGAGGTACAGGAAAACAGCCTCATCAACAGCATTGGGCTTCGGCGAGAGGACCTGACCTGGGTCCTGGCTGGGCCACTTCTGGGTCGGAAAATTCCGGAGCACCAGCTAAAGAGGTGGACCCTCAGCTTCTACCTCCTGGACAAGAGTGAGAGGGGCTGGGGACCAAGACCCAGAACTGCCCCTGGGGTACGATTGGAAGGAGTGTGAGAGGGTGCTGTAAATACTAAGGAACACACGAATGTCATTTGTGACCATTTCAAAGTCTTGAGGGTGTTTATTAAACTATATACTTACACCCTGTTGACATTTTCTAATCCACTCTGGTGTGTAGACTAATTATGGATCCAAAACATTTAAATATGAAGGTTTCTTTCAGTAATGCAATTAACTAGCAAGAGGCAATTACAAAGCCTTTAGAAAACAGTTGAAAGTATCTTTACATAGTCTTAAGCTTTAATAATTTGCTCCAAACTTTCTACAACCATCATTCCCACGCCCTCTTTTACGGATGGATATTTTCTCTAGATAACTGATCACATCGTGGGCGCTTGGGATTTCTGAAACTCGGTCACTCCGTGTTTGAACCTGAGAACCCAACGTGAAGCCAGTAATGAGTGGACTGCGGAGCCATCGACAGCTCCGATTCCACATGATGAGTGTCTGGCAGTGGGCCCTTCCCGGGCAAACCCCACAGCGAGACTGGCCCCAGGCATTGCCCGCCTTTTATTACTTTATTATTTTTTTTAGGCAAGGCAAAGTGGGAACATGGGCAAAAAAGAGAACTACTCTCATCAAATTGATTACACGAGGAGCTAAATTCCAATAATCAAACTATCACCAATAGTTCTTTCTCTTAATTTTTAGACAGTTTATGCTGCAATGTTAAAGAAAAAAAGTCCTTAAATTATGGAAGTGCCCAGACACGGATGCCCAGGTGCCAGGTTTGCCAACGTCACTCAGAGGAACAGGAGGGGCAGCAACGGTCCTGATGCTGGGCTGAGGACGGCACCGAGACCTGGGGTGTTGACAGGGGCTGAGGACAGACCTGGGGGCAACTCCACTGGACGAGGGCAGGTGAGCGAGGCCAAGGGAGCCGACGAACCCCAAGTCCCACCCACGAATGGGGGCTGGAGCGCTCACTGGGCCTTCTGAACGGATCTCTGCAGAGCAATGGGGCGGGGGGCAGAATTCTGGAAACAGCTCAGCAGCTGCTGAATCAACCAATCCCGTGACCTGAAATTACAGAGGGAGCGGATTCGGTTCTGGACAGCTTTGGCACGGCCGTGACGATGCAGGAACCAGTGCTCACCCGTGACACACTGCCCCACCGTGGGAAAGAGTTGGAGGGAAGGCAGGAAGCAGTAACTAGGGTTGGGAGGGTGACTGGACGTAAAACAGAAGCTCACGCCTCATGTTTTCTAGGGGAGGCGGGGCTGAGTCCCGAAGCCCAGCCTCAGAGCCTCCCTGAAGACGGGGTCACAGAAGTGCCTGCAGGGCGGGGGAGGCGCCAGGCCGAGGCCTCTGCTCGTGCTGACAAACCTCTAGGTGAGAGGCGGCGTTTGTGGGCAAAGCCAAGGCCGCAAGGGAGTTAGAAGAACAGCCCGGTGTGCGTGGAACTTCCCATCAGTGGCAGTGAACTCAGTGGTCACCTGGAGTTCTGGCTGTTTCCTCCTCAAGCATCGGACCCCCTAAGAGTCCAGGGCAAGAGTGAGACCAGGGGTGTGGGGGTGACCATTTCAGGGAGCAGAGCAAACAGAAGCACAATAAGCATGTCGAGGGGAGCCCAGACCGCGCTGTGCCCGCGTGCATTTTATCTACGTTCAAAGCCAGCGGTTTTCCTGAGAACGCTTAGAGACTCTTGAGTGTAGAATTCAATAAAGTGCAACGCTGGTTAATAAACACCACGGAAGGGGATTTGGTAACGCCGACTGCTATTTTATTTTACATGCACTATAATTAATGTGCGTTCCATTTCCTGAGCCTTTTAAACAGTTACTCTCATCAAAGCAAGGCCCAGGTTTTCTCAGGATACCAGCTGCTTTAATTATGTTTTTGCCCAAAGTCAAACAATTCTTCGACTGGCATTACCCTACGAAGTGGGATTTGAGAAACTTAATTTTCCTTTTCGGTACTTGGATTAGCTCTGCATCTCGGATAATCATTATCTTTTCCAGGCCTTTGTTTGCTTCTCTGTCAAATAAAGAAATTAATCTCCATGATCACTGACATGTATTAGTGCTCAAAATTGCAAAACATTTAATTTCCTGTATCATGATATTTGGTGTCCTAAAGATTTTTAAACATCAGATTCATGGAGAATGTGACTGACTTGCATATCTCAACCAGTTTAGTTCACTGATTACTTAATTGTAATTGGTCATTCACACCAAGTAGCTACGTCTTTTTACTTTATTTCTTGGGAAGTGAACAGACTGAACACGACAGCTACCACTCGGCAAACGTGTCCTTTTGAAAGAATAATTCCTCCTCGTCCCACACTGGTGGGGACCGACAGGCAGCCGAAGGGACCGCGTCGGGCGCTGCTGCACGGGCCCCGGAGTCGTGTGGTCACGGATGGACACGCACTCTGTCTGTGTGTCCTCCTCTCGTTAGAAAATCCGTGGTGGGGAGAAGGGCCTCACCGCACAGGGCTGTTTCAAGCATGTGTGGGGGCACATGTGTGTGGACAGGGACCCCCCAAACCCGGAATTTATGCATATAAAATCCTGTGTTGATTTTTACACGTTTAAACTTCAGTCACCTGCAGTTACTCTCCACTCGTCAATTTTGAGGCCTTCCAGTGCTTCTGCTGTTGCCCGTCCCACCTCTTCCACGTCGGCAAAACATTTCCCTTTGCAGACTTTTTTCATCCGTGGAAACAAAAAACGTCATTTGGGACCAGGCCAGGTGAACAGGGAGGGTAGAGCATGGGGGTCGTGCGGTTTTTGCCCAGAAACTGATGAATGCTCAGTGCGGTCACTCACAAGTCACCCATCAGGAAGTGGGCAAACAGCAAACACACTGAAAGAGTCTTCAGATAGAATTCACTGAAGCCGAACGCAGCCTCTCACAACAACGCCAGCTGGCGCACTGACCCAGGTGGGTTCCTGGAACACTCACCCAGCGGGGGAAGCCTGTCCTACAAGGGGCTCGCCCTACAGGAGATAACTCTGTTTTTTTTGGGTCCCCCCTTATAATTTTATATGGATATGTAATTATATAGTATACACGTGTACAACCACATATGCTCTAATATAGAGTCGAATATATGAATTAATAAACACGACAGCAAAGTGTTGGCGCGTGGCAGGCGGGCAAAGGCGATCTGCACCAACACGTCACCGCGCAGCTCCCGTCTCCTGCCCCTGCACAGGAGTTTCCTCAATGCACCTGTGTCACAGCCGATGCTGTGCAGCCCTGAGCAGCCTCAGGTGTTCCTTTTCTGCCACTGGATTCTAAACACATTGGACTTCTCAATAGACACATTTCAAACAGTTGCCTCCAGTGAGGTTTCTCAATGCGCTGCCTGGCCAACAGTGTGCAGAGTTAAACGGCCGTCTGGCACCCGGTGGGGACGGCCAGGAAAAGTCAGCAGGGAACAGAAATCGCGCCAGCTAGGTAATAGCTGCAGCCTGCGGCCAGGCAGGAAAACGCCGGTGGCTCGGGCTACTCACTGGTGTAGGCGAGCTGGAAGCCCTGGGCGGTGTCCGACCCGTTGGAGGTGAACTCCAGCCGCAGGTGGTTGGAGGTGCTGTTCAGCGTCTGCCCCATGAGCTCGCTCTTCGTGAAGGTCCCCAGCAGCCGTGACACGCTGTCCTTTCCGTCGTAGACCTAAAGGGAAGTCACAGCGTGAGACCGTCCTGCTGCACGGGGGCTTTAACTCAGCAGCCCCAGCCAGGAGCGGCTTCGGACGGCACGTTAGCAGGTGGCCCTTACCCAGAGCTGCCTGGGCGACCTGCTCACCAGCCCTTTCCTTTCTGTCCCCTCTCTACTGATAATGTGGAAACAAAAAAAGTCATTTGTGTGCAGGTTGTTTTGCAGTCACTGCTTGGAGAGCCGCTGCTGTGTTCATTTAAAATTAAATACTGATTTTGTTGAAAATCAAAATGATTTGCAGAACACCCCTCCCTTCCCAACGTCTCTCAGAAGGACCCTGTGCCGGGACCTTGTCACACTGCAGTCAGAGAACCTGGAGTGACCGCAGTCCTGGGTGAGTGGCGATAAAAAACAACAATCCCCAGGCGGCGACACCAGAGAGGCAAGTCACTGTGTATGCGACTGCCTGCTCCCAACTGGGTGGGAGGCCGGGTGGGCACCCGGAGGGTTCCGCGGCAAGGCCACCAGGGCCCAGTTAGGAGCAGGAGTGAGGGGACCAGAGGGGAGGCTTTGGGACAGAATCTGGCGCTTCTCCGAGTTCATCCAGCCTGGGAGGGGCGGGGTGCTGGTCACACTCGCTGGGCAGGGCTGTGTCAGACAGCAGTGACTGACTGTAGGGCGGGGACACGGTGGGGTGGCCCAGGGCACACCTCCTTGTGGAAGCCGGAAGCAGCACCCCCCACCCCCGGCAGAACCCAGGGTCACAGTGACCCTTCCTCCCCCCCCAAACCCCCCCAGGGTGAGTGCCTGGCGGGAGCGGGTGGTCCATTTGCGGCTTTGAACTGCCTCAGTGGTTCACAGCAAGGAGCCTGCGGTTCAGATAAGGACTTTTCGGACGCAAGGGTAGAAATGTTACATGGCGTTAAAGAACTATCCAGTTTTTCTTGTCAGAAAGATCTTAACTAAACAGAAGTTCTCAGGCCGCAGCCGCCCCCGGGGAATCTGCTTCTCTCCCCCCCCCCCCCCCCCCCCGGCTTCCCGCTGCACGGCTCGGCCTCCCTGAGCACAGACCCCACACGGGCTGCCCCGTGGACGCACACGCCCTTAGAGGGAGCAGATCCAGGAAAACTAATTTCATGGTCACTGTGTTGTTTCATTTTGGTCCAGCAGCTCTGTCTGCGTGGCCGAGGCAGATGCCTGCGACTTCCCGCTGAGGGCCAGCACAGCGAGTTTCTGACGCCACGTTTCATAAGAGTTCAAGTCCAGAGGGACCTGGCTCAGAGAGAAACGTCCAGGGCACCGCAGACAGGGCCAGTCAGACTGCAGGCCACCATCGTCTGTGATCTCGTGAGGGCCCGCCGAGCAGCTATGCAGGCCCCAAGCTCACTCCTCAGCTCCGAAGGGCGGTCAAGGTCAGCCCCACTGGCTTTGGCCCCACTGGCTTTGGCCCGACTGAGCACTTCACAGAGATCAGCCCGACCAAGGAGGGTGCTGGGCTCACGGGCTCTCAGGCTACACCAGCTGGGAAGGAGGCAGCACCGGTTCCCCCAGAAGGCACTTCTGTCCTGTGGGTCCCCTCCCCCAGCCATCCGCCTGTGCTGGACCTCGGAGCCCTGGAGTGAAGAGAGGGCCCACCACAGGGACCCTTCCTGTGTCAGCCCTGAGCTGACATCTGGATGCGACCTCGGTGTTGATCCCAAATGACAGCCCGAACAGCGTCAGAAGTTGGGGACGGGGTGTTGAACTGCAGTTGAATCAGGGACCAGCTCAGCCCAGCAGCGCCCTGGCACTTCCACCCGTCAGCAGCTGCAGCCGGGGCCTCTGCTGAGCCCCGAGAAGGGCCTGAGTCCCACCTTAATGCCAGGCTGCGCCTTTGTGCATGCCGTACGGTCTCGGGGCTCACCTGCGCACCCCGCCATGCGCTCCAGCGGGCATGCCAGCTGCTCACTGTTTGGAGAGCGTCCCCCAGTACCCCGGAGGGACGGGGCTGGAAGGACTGGGGACTGGCCCCCGCTCCCCACGAGCAGTGCCCAAGGCCCCCGTGTCTACGATGAACCTCTCTCCCCCCTGTAGGTCTCTTCCAGGACGTTTTCATTAGAGCTGTGCTGGTCCCCCAGGACTTTCCCACACGGAGCGAGGGCACACCCCCCGTGTGTGCAGGGCTGTGTGTGCCTGTGGACTTGCTCTTCAGTCCCCGAGGAGGACCCTGGTGGGTCATTACCGGTGACCCAGGGTGAAGATAGTGCCTCTGGAAATGTTTTTGTCCCCGAGTCAGTAATGAGCCAACTCGATGAGACATTTGTCTGAGAGTCACCCAGGCGTCTGTGCTGACTGGCCGCACCTCCGAAGGTGAATGTGGAGGCGAGATGGGCTGGCCTTTCGCTAGAGTCAGCAAGTGTGAGCTGCAAAGTCACAGGTGAATGGGACTTGCCTCCTCTGCCACAGTGACCTTAATCAGTGTGCGTTCTGTACAGGGTCCCCGCTCACTCCCCTGCCCCTGAGAGCAGGTCACTGTTACTTACAAGTTTGCCTGGAAGGCTGACTTCTAAACTCCAGGTTATCGAAGCATTCAGAAAGCAGTTCCTTACGACATACTTTACATGTGTATTTTAGACACCAGAATACGCCGGCTTCCTGTCTGAAACCAGTGTCTTAATGACCGTCCTCTGGGCCGCGGTCAGGGACCAGGTTCCTGAAGGCCCACTAAAGGCCAGAGCCCAAGGCGAGCGACCCTCTGAGCAACGACCGGAAACGTGGGCAAACGTGCGGGAGGGCGGGGCTTCCGCCCGCGAGGTTCTGGGACGCACTGCTGGTGAGGCCAAGGGCACCTGCGGGGACTCTGCTTCATCTCCTGCACCTGGGTGACGGAGGGCGGGACGCTCACGGTGCCCTTTGAGTGGGGTTTTGCATGTTTCCTTAGTGCTGGCAGCTTGTAGAGAGCGGGGCCTGCGGAGCCTGAGACGTGGCATCGGAGCGTCCAGGTAATGCACGCACGGACCCCCGATGTCACACAGGGAATCAGAGGAGAGTGCGGCCCCTCCGGCCACACCTCTGCCACCTGCCACATCTCAGGGCACCGGGCGCCGTGGGACCGGGTGACGTCCAGACTCTGACCCTGCTGCCCAAAGCCTCTGTCCTTCCCCGCCCTGAGGTTTGGTTTGCAAACGCTTGTTCCCTGGACCCTGGAGGGTCCGCAGTTCCGCGATATCATCCCAACAGAGGCGGGGGCTCCATCAGAAGCTGCACAGGTTGCAGGGCATCTCCCCGTGGAGGTGGGGGTTTAGTAACCCAGGCCGGCCCGGGGGACTGCTGGCCCTGGTTTGCCCTGCTGGCGCCCGTGTAGGGAGCAGGCGGTGGGCTGGGCGTGGAACCTGGTGGGCATTTCCAGAGCTGCTGACCCTGCATCACAGGCCCCTGGAGCTGCCGCACCCCCCACCAGCATGTCCTCCAGTCCTGCAGTTCACACAGACCGTGTCCTGTCCTATGGGGCCTCTCCACGTGAGCCCCGCTTTGCAGCCGGTCACAGTGGCTGAGCTTGTTTCCACCATCGCATCCAAATCACTGTAGCTCTGAACGTGGAGGCCCCAGAAAAGGTGGGGGCGGCGGTGGGAGGGCCGCGCCTGGGGGCCCAATGCTGCCCGGTCACCGTGCGTGCAGGGTGCGGGCTAGAAGCGCGCCCTGGTTACGTCACGGCGCTCTCCGGACACTCTCCGGACACTCCGAAGGGCGCGCGTCTTGGCGCGATCCGACGCAGCAGAAGCCGAGTCTTAAACAGGGTTCGGCAGTTTCCCCCAAGGAGCCGACTAAGGAGGTGAGACCCAGGAACCCGAACCGAGACACCGTGTTTTGCCGCGTGTGATGCGCACACACATTTTTGGCCCAAACTTTCAGGAAAGAAAAAAAAAAAGTTTTGTTTTAGTTTTTAATCCAATTATTTATTTATATTTTGAGACTTGTTTTTGTGTATTATAGAGGAATTTTAGAATTTACTTTTGAATGAATTATGGTACAAGAAATGGTATGGAACAAAGAATTATAAAATACCAGGGCAGATTACAAGGTACAAGGAATTTTATGTACCGGTAACCACCCATGTATAATTTTTTCATCCAAAATTTGGGCAAAAAGCACGCATTATACACGGCAAAATACACGGTATTTTAAAGTCTACATACATTCTACTGAGTGACACTCCACGCCGCCTTCCCCGCTAGATAAAGCTGGACGGATGTGCTCACATAAAAACACGTGAACACACATGTGCATCTACTCAGGTTGGTGCGCGCCGCTGGGCAGATGCCACCGCGAGTTATGGAAGGTCCTTGTACCTTCAGAGTGTCCCCCTCCGAGAGCTGGAAGCTGCGCGCCCGCAGGCGGACCCCCTTCCCGGCCTCCGTCTCCACGCTGTAGATGCACTCGTGGTGGTCGTCGTAGTTGGCCGGGAAGTTCGGCGACAGCAACGTCCCTTCGTTTCCCCGGACACTCGCCCCGCATTCAGCTGCAAGAAACGGACATTGCAAAGGGAAGAGGTTCAGAACGGGGTTGCTGGCTTCCCTGGAAAAACATTTTAAAGTCGTGACACTCCAGGCACCTAATTCCTACATTGTTTTCATGGGTTAGCCTTTTACTGACCGTAGATGGGGGGGGCGGGGCGGGAAGACGCCCCCATCCATCCCGTTGGCAAAGTTTTCTCATCTCCTTTAACAGAACATCTCATCTCCAAGGGAGCAGGGCGCCATCCCATCCCGCCATGGCTTCTAGAACAATCTGCCGTCTCCCTGGGCCTCAGGTCTCATCTCCTCAACTCATTCCTGCCTCCTGAAACGGCCCCCAGCTCCACTTCCGGCTTTGCTGTCGCATCCGTGCTCCTCCCCCGCGTTTTTAGCCGTAGGCCTTGCCTCCACGCATGCGCGCAACAGGAATTCTGAGGCCAGAGGAGCGCCAAGCGAAGCGCCCTGGGGCCGAGAGCGCCCTGGGGCCGAGAGCGCCCTCTGCCGTCCCCTGAGGGCACTTCACCTGTGTCCGCATTTGCATGAAACCACCTTTGGTCCAGGCAGAAATGAGCACTGTGCCCCGCTCTGTGACAACTGGGTGAAGGTCCCTCAGCTTTCCGTCACCTGTTCCCTCACCTGGGAACGTGACCAACCAGGTTAGGTCAGAACTCCATCAGCTCTAAACTTCTATGAGCCCAAAGGATCATATGGTAGTGAAGTCACTAAGTGTGGGTGTGCGGATGTGTGTGGGTAGGCGTGTGTCTACTGATGAGCATGCGAGTCTGTGCGTGAGATAAAAGAGCCCCGTGGGGCGTCCCATCAAAGACTGTTTCCTGTCAGCCACACCACACGCCAGCAACAGTGACTTTCAAGAAGTCAACAACGTAAGCTTGAGTTTGCAGACACGCGATCCCACAGGACAATGACAGTCGATGCTGTGCAGCTGTCCAACGGGGTGACAGAGGGACTCCGAGACAATGTGAGGGGAGTCACCAGCCTCCACATGCCGGCTTCTCATTTCCGTTCTTGCTGACGTTCCGCCTTTCCATGACAGTGGATGGGATCACCCCAGCTGTGGCCCAAGCCCCCGCCAGAAGACAATGGCTCATGAGTCAGGATCAGCTCTCGGGGCTTGTGCACTTGGACCTTGTGTGTCCCCACATGGGAGGGCTGGGAGCAGAGTCAGGGGGACACCACGGGAGCGCCCGGGTCACCTGTCCCTCTCTCTCCTCCCGTGAGGCCGTGGTGTCATGCTTTGGTAGGGAGCAGGGGAGAAGAGGTGGGAAAGAACCCGCAGAAATTGGGGACCTGATGAAGGTCAGGGGTTTTATAACAATCGCTTAAACATGGCGGCTACGTTACTACTCTATTTACACACTTGTGAGGTTGTAATAATACTTTCTTAGGAAACATTTTCAAAGAGAAAGTGGTAGGTGGTGAGCCCCCTGCCTGACGCCAGGCACCCGTCCTCAGGCCAGGGCTCGGTGGTCCCCGAGTGGGAGCGCTCCTCCTTCCCACGGCACCCGAGGGGCACCCGGGCACCCACCGCCGCAGAGCTGTGGCTTTGCCCCTCAAACTCAGCACGACCGTCGGTAAGCACCCCCCTCGGGAGATGCTAGCAATTCAGGGGCCTGGTGGAGTGTTCTTTTACTCCTTCTCTTTCCTGAAGAAAGAGGGTGTTTTTACCTTAAAAGCCCAATAGCAAAGCAAAAAAGTGTCCCTCTCTGGCTGCTCAGTGGGTGGCACCACGGGGGATCCATCCAACATGTTGCAAATATCAGACACGAAGAGGAAGAAGGAGAAACTCATCGGAGTCTGACAGCTACGTTAGGGGATTTTATGCAAAATTGAATTTGATAGTGATCGACTATGCAAACATCAAATTTAGGTCCTCTTAGCCATTATTTTAAAGTCTGAAAGAAAACGCCTTGCTGTTGAAGAGGTGAAGAATGCTAACCTAGCGGCAGATGGGTTATTTCCAGGGGGAGGGAAGCCTGTGAGGGTGCTCGGAGGTGCTGTGGCCGGTCGTGCATCTGGTTTGGCGCCGTGTGGCCGCAGGACAAAGAGGTAGGACTGGACAGCAGACTTCAGCATTTGGGTGCAAGGGAAGAAAAAAAGGAGCCTGAAGACGTAATTTCACCTGTTTTTGATTAGGATTTGGACTCTGGGGTTCTCTGAAAAAGCAGATGTGTCCTGAGTGGTGCTAATGAAGGGCGAGCCTGGAGGGAACAGAAACCGTCAAGTGCAGGACACTGACTGGGCCGTCGTGGCTCATCGTCCTCTGTGCACGAGCAACACTGCGGCTCTGGCCTCCAGCGACAGGGGCTCCTTCCACACCCCACTGCGCACTGGCCCGTTGGGAATAAAGTCCGCACTAGTATCGAAGCTACTACCTCTCGCACTGAGACAAAATGCTAAGTACACAGTCAACCACGATTCGTTTACTCAACGTGTACCTGCACCCAGCCCTGCAGGCCCACGTGGGCGCCCTGGAATGCGGGGGGCAGGACTGCATGACCTCAGTGCAGTTTGGGGAGCCCCTCCCCTCCTGGGTGCACATTCCCCTCTGAGAGCACGAGATGGCTTGCACAGTGTACAAATTTGATATGTTAGTTTTCTAAAAATCAATTTTTAGTTCAGTGTTTTACTTTATATATCCCTAAATTAGGCATGATTACTATTTTATTTATATTCATGTTGCTTTATATTCCTCAATCTTCCATGCAAATTACCATGCAATTAGTTTCTTTTCCTAAAAGCATAACTTCTATATCTTCCCTCAATTTTCAGAACACATTTGTGTTTGAATTGACACCAGGCCGATAGATGTGGGCGGCTGTGGTCGCTGTCATTTTCTGATTCATGTTGAGACCGGTAAGTAAATGTGATGCTTCTCTTTCGTTTCCGAGCGGGTTGATGGAGAAGCAACCCTGAGTTCCTCGAGAGCACCCTGACAGAGCTAATCCAGTGTTCGGATTTCTACCACGCCCCGGAAGTGCGCTGAAAGACACAGAAAACTGTAGATTTTCAGTTGTTACCGCTGTTGTACCGGGAGATAGTCCCTGCTGCTGCTTCTTCTTTTTAAAAGATTTTATTTAGTTATTCTTAGAGAGGGGAGGGGAGGGAGGAAGAGGAGAGAAACATCCATGTGTGGTTGCCTCTCCCACGCCCCCTCCTGGGGAGCTGGCCCACATCCCAGCATGTGCTTTGACTGGGAATTGAACCGGTGATCCTTTGATTTTCAGGCTGACACCCAATCCACTGAGCTACACCAGCCAGGACGAGACTGCCTGCTCTGATCAACATAAGGGTCAAAAGTGGTCTTGCGGACAGCCTGGTTTCCAGCGGTTGTTTCACCTGTTTTTTTCCCTTTGTAAACGTGCGTGACACTTGCATTTCATTGTCCTACAGCCACGAAGTTTTAGAGCTGAAAGGAGCCGGCCCTCCGGAGGGCGGAGCATGGCCAGAGACCCGCACTCCCGGCAGGGAAGCACCTCGGCCAGAGCCCTTTCCCCCCCCCCCCCCCCCCCCCCGGCCCCGCCTCCCGGCCACACCGCGCCGTCCCCCTGGATGAATGAAATGAAAGTGTGCGGCCACCTACCCACACACCTTGGCAGAGGTGCGCTCCACACTCGGCGGCCCCCACCCAGGCACGTGAGCTTGGTGGCGCCTTCTAAGCGGTACCCCGGGAAGCAGGAGAACGTCAGCGCGTCCCCGACTCCGAAGTGAAAACCGATCCTGCGGCTGAAGGCGGGGACGCCGGGGTCGTCGCAGGGCTCCAGGTCGTACTCTGAGACAGAGGGAGAGAGAGCAGGTGCGTGGGTCGGGGCGACACAGAACATTATTTGGCAGGACAAAAAGACGCTGTGGTTAACGAGGACCCGGTACATGGACACTCTCTGCAAACCCTGCCGGCACCGCGAGGCGAGTGGTCTTTCTCCGCACCCTGAGTCTCGCCTGTCCAGCAGCGTGGGTGTTGGGACCGTGCCCACAGGTGTGCGGTAAAAGGAAACAACCCTTTCAAAGCCGTCACTTCCACTGTGGGAAATTATTTACTCTTTCCGACGTCTACAGTCGGCTGCTGCCCTCCTCTCTGAGTGGCGCCGAGTCACTGGGACACACAGCACGAAATCTCAGCGGCAGCAAAGGCACCGCCGGGGAACCGTCCTGGCCCCAACTAGTTAGGTTTGGAAATCACTTTGTCACTGTGCGTCTGCAATAGAGTAAAGCCCAGACTCTTCTCGGTTGTGTGTGTTCACACTTTTTTCACCCTGAAGGTGAAGCGCAAGTGTCGGCCTCCAGGGACAGCAGGCGTGAAGGTGGCCCCCGACAAAGCTGACGACCAGGACAAGGTAGTGGTGCCTTAACGCCACCTACGGCTCACTGGGAACCCGCAAAGTGACGCTTGTGGGTGCCGCGCAGACGCCTTCCTGCTCCACAGGTGCTCAGCCTCCTCCTCCCCCTGACAACCAGTGCCCATCACCTGTCGCCCCCCACGCCCCCCCTACGCCCACGCACGGCACACAGACCCACCCGCACAGCACTGGTACTGTGGGACATGGCGGGAGAGCCCGGCGTACCCGAAAACGTGATGTTGAAGCCCTCGTAGGAAATGGAGAAGTCGGAAATGAAGCGGAGCTGGGCGGTGAAGTTGCCGAACAGACCTGCCTTGATGGAGTGGGGCAGCACCGAGCCCGTGAGCCGGGCCACAGGCTCCGAGAAGCTGCCGTCCTCCGTGACCAGGAGGTAGTCGTGGGAGCTCTCCAGGTGGAAGGTGTGGAACATCATCTGAACCCCTGGGAAACGGGGGAGGGGGACAGAGAGAGAAAATTGAGAGCCAGACAGAGGGGGAGAGGAAGCCAGATGCCCAGGGGTCACTTCTTCTGGGCTCCGAGACATCCGTCTTGAATCAGAATTTGTTCTCAACATGTAAACCTAACCCTGAAGTTTAAAAATGAAGATACAGACAATGGGGGGGGGGGTTTTAGGAATGAAAGGAATAAGCAGAATGAACAGCAAAAATGAATAAATGTTGAAGAATATATAAGTGTAAAGTCAGACGTAAGCTTAGATGTAGATGCAGATACAGATGGAGATACAGACACAGATGTAGATACAGATAGAGATACAGTTACAGACACACTGTAGATGCAGATGGAGATGCAGATAGAGATACAGTTACAGACACACAGATACAGATGCAGATGGAGATACAGATGCAGATGGAGATACAGATGCAGATGGAGATGCAGATAGAGATACAGTTACAGACACACTGTAGATGCAGATGCAGATGGAGATGGAGATGTGGATAGAGATACAGTTACAGACACACAGATACAAAAGGAGGTACAGGTGCAGATGAAGATGCAGATGGAGATGCAGATGCAGATGCAGATGCAGATGGAGAAGACAGAGACGCGATGGGAGGCAGGCAGAGATGTGGGGGTGAAACGGGGAAGGAGGTGGACCACAGACTGCCCGCAGACACGGTCACTGGGCCCTGAGGAGGAGCGGAGACAGGACAGCGGGGCGGCTCTCCTGTTTACAGTGAGCACGTGACCTCAGAAGGCCTTCGCCCGGGCACCCTGAGCATCAGCCTACGCACCGGGGGGAAGACACCTTTGGAGCTCCGGTCTGCGGGCCCCAGGCCGCTGTGCCCCTGTTAACCATGGACACAGAGTACTGCCTCTCCATTCCCGGAGCCAAATCAACGGCATTCATTATGAATAGCTTCTTTGGGGTACAAACACTGGTATTTATGATGACCAAATCTTGGTGAATCATAATTTCTTCCTTTTTACTCTTAATTTCCTTCAAGGCCACAATCTTCTTAACATGCATTCACAAAGGCATAATGTAACTCGGTACATGAAACAAATGTATCAGTTGAGCATCAAGCAGAGCCCAGGTCTAAGTGGGAAGCACAGTCTGCACAGCATTCGTGTGATCAAAATTCCAAATGACTTTGTGACAAACCGCACATTCAGACAAACAAACGAACAAAGACCCATTCCTAAACTGAAAGTTCACAAACTACATTTCCTGTACAAACAGGACACGTCTCTGGTCTGCCCTGTGCACGTCCGTAAAGTGCGTGAACGTCACCCGCTCCGTGAGCCTTTACTGGATTCTGTGAATGGACGTGACGTACCACGAGCCGTGATCCTGGAAAACATGCCGCGCAAAGAGGCCTCCTAGATCGGCCGCGGAAACTGGAAGTTCGCTGGTTTCTTCTTATTTCCTCCCGTGTAACCGAGAGTCACACCTTATACAGTCCTTGCCCCTTTCCTCACCAATTATACCTGCTTTTCAACTCCCATTCACACGGGCACAAAGCCAGGTCAGCTGATAACCAGAGAGCAAGGCGAGACATCGACCTTCGCTCGTAGCACTGACCATTTAAAGACCACCCGTCGCCTACAATCTCATACAAACAAACGGTAACAGATACACCACAACACACGCGATGAGATTTGTTATCTTGCTCATTCGCACACGGACGCCTCTCCCCCTTCTGCGTCTCTGTCTTGTTAATCACGCTGCGTGTGCGACATCGGCATTGAGTTCTTACCTTTTCCGTGGGACACTTCAATGGTCCAGGTGCAGTTGAGTGAGTTTGGGTAAAAGTCCGGGAACCCTGGAGACAGGACCGTCCCACTCTTCCCCTGGATGTAGCCTCCACACAGGGCTTAAATAGTAAGAGAATATTATTAGAGTGGTTGGTTCACGAGGACGGCTAGAACAAGACGCACTTCAAGGGGCATTTAATTGGCCCGGCTACTCGATGAGAATGGGATGGGGGGTTGGTGGACAGGAAGGAGTCAGGACCCTGGACAGGGACCTGCGCAGTGGAGGCTGCAGGCGGGGGTCAGGCCTGGCCAGGGGTTTGAGGGCGGAGCCAGGAGGGCTTCCTCATTTGAGCCCTGTGAGCACCATGTGCCAAAGGAGGACCTGGGGTGGTTGGGAGGTTTTAAGCCTGAGTGTGAGTGACTGAGGGTGAAGGAAGGTTCTGGGACCAGTTGGTCTGTGATGGATCCGTGAGACTCGATGCCGACCAGCATCCACGTGGAGATGCTGGCCTGTGCACTGGGTGTGCAAGTCTGCGCTCCGCGGGACGGGTCTGAAGGAGGGATGAGACGGGGCAGACCTGGTGCGGTGAGTGAGGGCGTGGACGCCAGACCGGACCAGGAGGCTGCAGTGTGGGCAGCTCAGGGCTGAGGTCAGGGGCAGCAGGACGGGCTACGCGGGCCCGGCGGAGGTTGCGGGCGGCAGGTCCTGGACCCGAGGAAAACCGGCGCCCAGGACGTGGAGTCTGAGTGCTCCCTACCGCGCCTCGCACGCTGCCTCCACAAGTGCCGTGTGCCCGGCTGCGTGTGCAACTCAGCTCTGAATGTTCCGGGGGTTGGGGGGGCAGAGCTGAAAGGCAGCCCGTGAGAGTTCACTGCTCCATTCTAAACCCGCGCTCTCCGTATCAGGAAACCTCCGCGGGAGGGGTTTCCAATGTTAAACAGCCGCGGGTCTGTGACGCACGCACCTCGCCAACCAGCAATCCCCCTCGGCTGCGTGGCACCGCCTCCCAGGACACCTCTGCCCGCCACGCCAGTTAAGTACGTGCGCGTCCCCGCGGGGCGCCGCCTACCGTCGCAGCTGGGCAGCGCGCGGTTCCACTGGTGGCTCCTCTCGCAGACCAGCGGCTCGTCATCGCTGAGCGTGTAGCCGGGGTCGCAGCTGAAGGTCACCGCGGACCCGATGCCGAAGCTGCTGCCGTGCCGCCGCCCATTCACGGGGATCCCTGGGTCGAGGCAGGAGTCCGACTCCAGGGTCACACCTACAAGCCCAGAGAGAAGGTGCCACGTCAGGATCTGCCTGGGTCTCAGGGAAAGAAGATCTGAGCCGCGACACATGGGAAACGTTCGCAGACGTCATCGGTCCTGGAACAGGACGCCGGTGGCTACAACAATGTATCCGTGCATAAAATATATCCTGCAGTTTGACTGCGGTCTCGTAGAGAAAGGTCTCTGTATACATTGTTACGCTGTTTACCAGGTGATACCTAGTAGCGCAGACTTGGAGATCTGTTTACCTCTGAATTTCACTTCATTTAAAAATCAAACGAGACCCAGTGAATGAAGTCGAAGTCCTGTCTCAGTTTCTCTCTCCATCTCTTCCCCTCTCCCCATTTTTTAAATATTTTATGTCCCAGCTAGTTCTCGGGATCATGTGGTGCAGAGCTACCTGCACGCGGGGACTGAGCCCGTTGTCCTGAGCGCACCGAGCACCGGGTTGGAGGCACACGGGACGTGGTGCACAGGGGGCCTTGGGGACAGATGCACAGGGGACCGGGTGCATGAGAACGGACGCACAGGGGTGGAGGGCGGTGAGGCGCACGGGACGCACGGGGCGCAGGGGTCTGGGCCGGACCGCACTCACTCTCATAGCGGATGAGGAAGCCCACACTGGCCCGGCTGCTGTCCGTGGTGAAGAGCAGGCGCAGGGAGTTCCCAGTGCTGAGGAGAAACTGCGGGGCCTGCGTGCCGTGGTACTCGCCGATCAGCGGGGACGAGCTGGCTGGCCCGTCCCTCACCTCCAGGGTGTCGTAGTTGACTTCCGTCTGGAACCTGCACGCGTGGGCATCGGTCAGAAAAGCGGCAAAGCGCAACTTTCAGACACCCCCGCAACAGCTGTGTCCATTGGTGACACACCTGTGCACAGCAATGCAGAAAAGGTAAGTACAGTTCTGTGTACTCAGGTAAACTTGGACACCCGGCATACTTAAGAACAGCACTTTTTCTTCAAGTCAGGTCATGCCCCGCACCCCTCCTTCTTACTGAGTGCCTTGTCTGTAACATCAGAGACACTAAACGGGGCCGGGACCACAGTAGCCTTCGTACACAAGTAAGGTATTCTGGCAGCTCTGTGTGGTGGCCGGGGGTGGGGCAGGACTTGGGGGGCTGACGGCCTGTGGGTCACGGGAGTGGGCACCTGAAGCTAGTATCCTGCTGTATGTCTGCTGTAATTGTGAAATAGAAAGTGATTTCCAAAGCCAGAAGAACGGCTAGATCGATAAGCAACAGTGGAAATCGATCATTTTCACGGTCGCCTGTGGAGCAGGGTGAGGGTCGCCCTGAAACAGTCAGGGCGGCAGGAACCGCTCCAGTTCGGGAGGCGGCGGCCCAGTTCTCTGCACGCCCCTCGGGGAGGTCAGTCCGCACCCCGGACGCTGCTGGAAAGGGCGCAGGTCTCGGGGAGACCGAGCCGAGGGCCGCTTCAGCGACCAGGCGCTGCTTTCAAGACTGGAGAGGGGAGAGCGGCTTCCAGAAACATGTCTTCTGGATTAACGTGTCTTCCGAGGAGGACTCTGCCCCTCTGGAAAGTGGGGGTGGGATGTTCACACACAGTTGCCCCTACTCAGGTCCCCCCAGACGCCACAGACGTGCCGCACGTTCCAGCCGCTGAGATAACTGCTAACGACGCACCCAGCGGGGCTCGCGGAGCTGGCCTGGTTCCAGGGCCCCACCGGGCCCCAGGGAGCCTGGAACTCATGCGGGGCCTCCTTCGCTGAGAGGAAAACCCCACAGCCCACCTCTGCTGCACTCCGTCCGCGTGTGCGTGGGGAGGAGGAGGAGGGCGTGGGCCGGCTCAGCTGAACGAAGACTGGAAACCGGCTCACCGGTCAGCCCTGGGTTTCTCCTCATGCAAACACATGACCAAGTGTCCTTCCAACTGACCTAGGAGGGCCCCGCCCCCAATCCTCCCTAAGAAGTTCAGACAACACAGGCACCATGTGGGGGCGGGGGCAGAGGCCTGGATGAGCCCGCAGCTGGGCCCTTGAATCGGGCAGTCTCATCCTTCACTGGTTCAATGCCATCGGAAACCCTGTGGTCTCTCAGTTACCTGAATCCAAATTCCAAAAGTTGGATAAGCACAGAATAAATCCCATTGGAAGTATCTGCACCGAGTTTTCACACCGTTCCTGAAGGACGGCGGGGGTGCGTGGAGTGCAGGGTAATGTCTCCCCAAGGGGTGAGGGGTGTGCAAGGGCCCACCGTCCAACACACACGCACACCAGAGTGTGCTTCCGCCTGGGAGGCCATCCTGCGGAGGTTGCTATCATCCCACCCAAATAAACGGCGGCATAAATCATAACTTCAAACACGGAGAACAGCTGAGAGATGATGCGACTCCCGCTCAAAGCCTTCTTTGTGGGGTTACCGTCAGTTGTGAAAAAATGGGTGAAAAACAGTAATTTGCTTTGTCTGCTTTGGGGACATCGCGGTGTTCTGAACACAAAAACCCAGGACTGGCAGAGTCAAGGAGAGGTCGTTCATTGCTGGGGAGACGCCCCTTAAAGATTAACACCCCACACGATGCCTCCTTAGATTTTAAAACCCAGGATTCGTCCCAAACATTTTTGCTTTCTAATCTTCCACTGATCTCATCGTTGAGACAAGAGGTAAACTGTTTTGTTGTGAAACGTTCGGAAAGCATGATTTTTTTTTAGGCTGTTAAACACACGGTCGAGCAGCTATGCCAGCCGGCACACCAGCCGGCACTCATCCACGGGTGAGTTATCTATCTCACCCACGGATGACTAACAGGCCTTCAATCTGTCACGGCAGCTTCGGTGACTAAAGCCGCCTCCAGGTACCAGCAGCCGCCACGGGAAGAGAAGAGCTGTTTTCCGTGCTTCCCAGAGCTGCTTATTCCAAAGGAGGAGCCCTGTGTAGCTGAACAGCAGAGTGCGTTCCACCTGCAGGTCCCAAACGCGAGGGCCAGCAGCCACGGGAGCCGGGTGGTGGCGGCCTGGTACCTGCCGTGCTGCGAGCCACTGGGGACTTAGAGGCTGAAGCTCAAGAACAGGACTTTTCAGGCGAGTGCCTGTTCTATTGACATAAACTCCTTTGGGAAAACCAATACAGAACCATCACATTCTGAAGTTTCCAGAACCATGTAGATAAAAACATTCAGCACGCATTGGTCATTAGGTCCAAATTAAGCAAGAAAAGAAAGGTTTTTCCCTTACCTATCAAATGTTATCTTGATGGAGTGCCCCGGTTTGGCCTCGACGATCCATTCACAGTTTAGAGAGTCTTTGTAGTACCCTGGCCACCCGGGAGGCATGATGACGCCGCTGGACGCTGTCAGATGTCCGCCGCACGGGGCTGAAAGGGGAAGAGGGGTCAGCGAGGTGGGGACTCGTGGTCCAGCACGGGCAGCGTCCCGGGCTACCGTCTCCAAGGACTGAAGCACAGCCTAGTCCCAAGTGCACTCAACTCACTGAGTCTGTGTGAAGCCTGTGACTACATGTTTCATATTTAAGGAACTATCCAAAGATGCTGTATGAGAAAGACGTACAGCAAATACAGATTTTAAAAATTTTTTGATGCATAAGCCATTTCTGAATCTGCATGATGAGTATTTTCTAAAAGTCTTGTTTCCCACATAAATACAGAAACAGAAACACACTTCCTTTAGGAAGCTTCCACGGTTTTTGAGTTGTCCTGTCTCCTGGAATGTGCCTGAGCTGTCACACACAGTTTTTTATTAATGTCTTGACCTTTACACCTCACTTTGCAACTTAGTATCCTTCAGGTCCTGTGTCCCTTTATCCTGCTGAAACAGACACATTGATTAATCTCTATGTTGCACATCAACCTAATTACATCCTAAAGTTTCAAGTGATGATGTCAGGAGCCTGGGCCAGGGGGAATATCACCGCTGCTGACCCTGACTGGCCACAGCCGGGTCTCACACCCCCCTCCCCCGGGGCAGGCAGAGAAGCCCTGCAGGGCGGAGGCCCCGCCTCGGAGCGGCTGGTGAACAGCTTGGAGACCAGATGCAGACTCGGGAGTGAGGTCTACCCAGAGCTCCCTTCCCCAGGTTCACCGGCCACTTGCATAGACATGCAACCCAGCACTGCCCTCCTACGATAAACCCTCCTTGATCACAGGTGCTTCTTCTATGGCTTTGTTTGTGATGCAAATAATTGGCTTGGAAATATCGTATCGACCCTGGCTTTATAAAATATTATGTAGGACTCAGTCCACCGTTTCCGTTTTTGGGGGCGAGCTCCGGAGGCCACACCCCCCTGTGCCCCACGGACAGGGGAGCGGCTTGGGCAGCCCTCTGGTGCCCGCGTCCCTCTCAGTCCTTAACCGCCCATCTGGCCTCTCTACAGGGCTTTGCTCGTGCACAGTTCGCACTTTTAATTTTAGTAATTTACGCTTCACTAGGAAATCACCAGTGTCCTTGCTGTTCGCAGATTTGTTGACACGCAGTTCGCGATGCGTTCGTGTGCAGCTGGTTTCCCTGGTCCCTCGTGACCTGAGGACTTGGAGTCGGGCCGCAGAACCCGAGGGGGTCCGTGGCAGGACGAGGACAGAGACGCCGTCCGCCCACGCAGGTTTCCCCCATCACGGGTGGGCCCCCAGGAAACTCCGCCGGAATAAATACACATCCTGGGTTTCAGCATCTGCTTTACTGTGAGGCTCTCACTTTTTCCATAAAGTCATTGTCAGTGACAGTGGGTTCCATTATTTTATGAACTTGCTGTTGTCATGGTCGTCTCCATCTTTTCTTTGGCTAAATTCTTACACCTCTGTTTTCTCCTGGTTTCTGTGTGAGAATCGTAGGGGGTTTGTCTAGCTTATTAATATTAACAGAGAGCTCGCTGGTGCTGTTTCTCACGCTGATTCTTCTCACCGTAATATTCTAATTTAGTTTCCGCCTCCGTGTCCTACTCCGGGGCGTGTCCCTCCGGCATAGACTCTGCGGCGGGCTGTTCTCTGCATCAGGGGCTCCGATCGGGGCGTCTGCTCAGCGGGCATCACAGTGTCCCCCTGCGCCATCCACCTGCCCTCTCTCGATCACCTGTGCCCAGTGACATCAACTTTAAAAATCATTCACTATTAACTCGCCCTTTGCACTGAGGATTTTCTCACGATCAGCCCGCAGCTGAGTTTGTATTGAACTTCAGCTAAAGGCTTCTTCCAGACGAGGAGAGGACGGCTTCTTCAGGTGACACTGTGCTTTCTCGCTGTCTCTGACGCTGTACGAACTGTCACCTGCCACTCGCGTGTGTCCTGTCCTTTCTCTGACTGTGCGGAGGGGCACAGGTGTGCCCCAAGCTCACAGGCACGGCAGGCGTGTGTGGCAGGTGGGCACCCCCAGCTCGGCGAGACCTGCGGCCAGAGCCGCAGGCTCCTAGGATTGTCTATTCCTGCTTCCAGGTCGGCGGCCACGGGCTCGGCTGGAGGAGGGGCAAGTGCGGTAAAGCCGGCAGTGGGGCCGTGTCTCAGCGCCGGGGAGAAGGTGTTTGCTCACTCACAAGGACCCAGCCATTTATAAACGTCACTAAAATGCAAAACGCAGAAGCCACGCATTTAAAATAGATGGTAAAGTGGATCAAATAAAAATTCATCCCGTTTTCTTGCCCTTCAACTGATGCATTTCCCACCCCTGGGGGTGCTCTCCGTCCACCGGATTGTGACAAATCACAAAAGGGTGGGGACCACCTTTTGGTAGTTTGCGCAGAGTCAGCCAGCGCTGACTGGAAGCAGTGCTAGTCCTTAGGATGATGACGGGAACTTCGGGGAAGCGCTGGGCCCGACAGGTGGCCGCCCCCCGAGGAACTCGCTCTACCGCCCTGGTCAGCGGGCGAGGGCTCCGCCTTCCCCGTGAGACCCCGGGTCTCGGGGGGGCGGGCCGTCCTCCCAGGGAGGAGGGGGCCTCCGCCGCAGGGCCCGTCTGCCACGTGGTTCCGGTCGATGCGTCCATGACAGAAGAGACACTGACTGATGTGACTCTTCTGTCACGACCGAGTGACGACCGAGGAAATGCAAGTAAACGTGGGGTGGAAATCACCCGTAAACGCGATGGACACTTTCGGGTGGGCCTCTCTCCTCATTTTCTGAAAAACCGTGTGTGTGCGAATTTCCAAAACACCGTATCACAACGCGTGTGGTCCCATCACCCGGGCTTCCGCGTGGAAACGTGTAACGAGCGTCTCAGAGGTGCAGTCCCTGTGAAGGACGTGTGTTATATCCCGTTGACGAATGTGACCGATTCTCTGTGGTTTAAAACGTAGTTCTTTCCAGCGTCAGCCGGAATACGTACTTACTGGACAGGACATTCTTGGACAAAAGCCTTTTCACGGCTGCTTGACTATGTCCTTACATTACGGATCCTGGAGTACAATTTACAGCTTAAAAGGTAAGAAAAAATTAAGACCTCGATGTACATCCCCCCCCCCCGCCGTGACTTCTCTGCAGCTCCAGCAATAACACACCTGCTCCTTTGTGGGTACCTGTGCCCACGCGGTGGACAAAAATCAGTGTTCCAGCTTTGGCTTAAAACCCGTGTGTCCTGTTACGGATGCGGCACGTGCTTACCCACTTGCCCCTGTGCAGACGCCTCATCAGCTGCCCCGAATTTGGTAAATGTCCACAGTGGGGGCTGCTGTGCGTGGGGGGCAGGGGGCCTGCGGGGAGTGTCTGTGCCACCCCCGGGAACTGCTCCGCACGGGCACTCTTAACCATCTGAACGTCTGGGGCGTTTGCTGGAGACACTTTTTTTTTAAAGCTTTTCTCCACTCTGCGTTTGGACCGTCCTCATGGGGAAGGCGTGAGTCTGTATCCTAGTGAACGTGTTTTACTGGAGTCAACACTAGAGGCAATACCTATCCTCCCCGCTGGTGTTTTTGCTGTGTTGTGTAATTTTCTGACGTAGGGAACCAGCCTGAAAGGCCCAGCAGCAACTTAGGCGTTGCCGGTGCCGGCGCCGTTAGGGAGGACTCGGCGGTTCCCTGGAAACCGAGTCACTCCTGTGGGTTGTCCCCCCACTCACATTTTGTGCCCCCTGCGATCCTGTTTTGAACCTCCGATCCCAAACCTCAGAACATGGTGTAATTTGGAAGTAAGGCTGATGCAGATGCAATGACCTTATATAAGGTCCTCATTTAAGGCGACATTGGCCCCATCCAATATGCCTGTGTCCTTAGAAGGAGGGGAAGTCGGGCACAGATGCGCCCGCAGGGAGAAAGGGACTGTGCAGGCGGCCAGCAGGCGGCCAGCAGCCGCGAGTGCCCAGGGTGCTGTCTCCCCGGAGCCACTGAAGGACCCGTACGCCCAGCCCCCAGGCCTGGGAGACCATGACCTCCACCATCTGGGCCCCGGTTTGCGCACTTAGTGGGGCTGCCCTGGGGAAGCGGCGCCTCTGGGGGTTGGCTCACGTGAGGGGGACTCGGGACGCACCTTCGCAGCGGGGCACGGCGGAGCTCCAGACCACGTTCCCGTCCTGCAGCATGCACGAGATGGACTCGGAGCCCTGGGTCTTCACGAAGCCGTCGTCACAGTGGAAGGAGACCGAGCTCCCCAGCAGGAACCGGTCCCCAAAGCGCTGCCCGTTGATGGGGATGCCGGGGTCGTGGCACTCGTTCTGGCCAAACGCTGGAAAGGAAAAGGGGAACATGCAGCCAAGTGTTGCATCTGTGCGTCCGGAACGGACACACAACTACAGACGCAGAACTACGGGTAATGCTGCCTGGTCCTAGGTCTCGGTCACGTAGTCACTGACAAGGAAACACTATACACACACACACACATACATATATAGTTTCTCATATATACATATATGTGTGTGTAAATATATGTATGAGAGAGAGAGACGGAGACACGGATGTGACTGTATCTGTGTGTCTGACAGGCTGACTGTGCTCCTCAGATCTCAGTTCAGACGCATCGTGGCCAGACTCCTGGTTCTTGCGTTGATGTCCTTCCTGTGGGCAGTTTCCTCGGACGGTCGGAGGAGCCTGACCACCTTTATAGCTGGAGGAAGGTCAAGGCCACTCCCGGGAGCTGCCGTCACACTAAGGGAGGCACCGTGCCTCAGAGAGGTCGGCAGTCTGTCAATTATAGCTCATGGGTGACGTTATAATGTTGCTCAATTCCCTCAATGATGCATCTAAGTGGATGTTCTTAAATACGATCAGTGTTGCAAATGAGGAACCGGAGTTCGAGAAAAGTGCGCTGTCTTGTCCCAGTCACTGGGCGTATGTGAGACACGCACTGGTGAACTCGGGCCGGGCCCGGCCCCCTGCCTCCATCCTTGCTCCTGCACTGCGGTTGGGTGGTTGGTTCGCCTGTTCTTGCAAAGAGGTACGTAGGTGGTGAGTGAATAGATGGATGGTTAGGTGGGTGGGTGGGTGGACGGACAGATTGGAGGAAGGAGGAAGGAAGGAAGGAAGGAAGGAAGGAGGAAGGAGGAAGGAGGAAGGAAGGAAGGAGGAAGGAAGGAAGGAGGAAGGAAGGAAGGAAGGAAGGCCAGAAAGACAGAAAACGCCTGTGAGACCCGGTCCTTACTACAGGAGTGACTGACGTGCTGACCTGAACAGAGTGGTGTATTTTTAGGTCATCAGGCTAACGACACACAACCCAGCTACCGTCACCCCGTTAATTACGATCACGCCTCTGAGCATCGGCCTCCACCTCCAGCCGCCGCTCCCACGGGGGCGGGGCACGCAGGGCGCTGGGGCGCACTCACTGGTGTAGGTGATGTTGAAGCCGCGGCCGGTGGTGGAGTGGTCGGACTGGAACTCCAGGCGGACCACGTGGCCGCTGCTGGCTAGCTGGGAGGGCACCTCGTTGCCCGAGAAGGTGCCGAGGACGGTCACGTCGGAGCCGCTGTCGTCCTTGACCGCGAGGAAGTCGAACTGGGGCTCCACGTCGAAGTCGTTGAAGATGAGGTGGACCCTGCTGCCCGGCTCCGAGATGATCAGCCACACGCAGTTCATGTTGTTCCCGTACTCCTCGGGGTAGTTCGGGGACAGGATGATGCCCGAGGACGCGGTGAAGTTGAAGAAGCAGGAAACTGCGGGGACACAGGCAGGTGTCTCGCGCCCATTCCCAGATCTGGGACCCGGTGCCCGGCGCGGATGGATCGCGGGGCACTTGGGCGGGGAAACCGTCCCGACCTGGGCGGGCCAGTCGGCTCTTCCACTGGCTAACCACGGACCACGCCTGTTCTCTCGCCCCATCAGCTGTAACTGGAAATTTCCACCACGTGTGGCACAAAGCAGAGCCTGCAGGGACCCTGCCCAGGCTTGATCGGAACCTGGTCCCGTCCCGGGACTGAGACTGGTGGGGAAGAGAGACACTTCCGCCACACGTGCCTGCCTCCGGGAGGTCAGTGTGAAAAGCTCTCTGTGTCCCAGAGCGACTTCCAGAGAAGAGCCGCGGCTGGAGTCGGTCTCCTCCGACAGCAGCACGGTGCACCTCCCGGGCGGGCGCCGGGGGCGAGCTGTTCGCTTTCTTTATTAGCTACAGTGTAACTGCCGGTGAGTGATGCCTTGGAACGTCAGACCACGTTCGGGTGGGCACTATGAAGTCTTCTGGAAAATTTACCTTTAGGAATGTGCTCTTAAAATCATGTATATACAGACACAAATACATGTATATGGATATACTCATACACATATTTTTTTCTTTTTTGTAGAAAATACCTGTTGGGTTTACTTCTAGGGAGTGGTTTTGCTTCGTACCCCACACCACTTCATGCGTACCTCCTGACCGCTGCTGTGTTTGGTCACAAAACCCCCTGTTTGTAAACGGCCCCGAAGCCCTTCCCTGCCGGTCGCACACTTTGCTCTGAGGACGCAGCAGTTGCTGACACGCCCCCACGGGGGTCCGCCCAGGCGCCCCATGGCTGTTGCCCCTCAGGTGCCTCTCAGGGCCCACAGCCGGTGCGGCACTGGCGCCTCTGAGAGCCGCCTCCCCCCAGACCCCTGCCAGGCCCCCGCCAGGCCGTGGCACCAGCCGACACTCACACACGCAGCTGGGCTTGTTGCCGGACCACTGGTTGTTGCGCTGGCAGGTGATGGCTCGCTCCCCCACCAGCTCGAAGGCGGCCTGGCACTCGAAGGTGAGCGTGTCGCCGTGGAGAAAGCTGCTGCCCGTCCGCCGCCCGTAGGCAGGGACGCCAGGGTCCCCGCAGCCCCCCTTCTCAATTTCTGAAAACGGGAAAGACAAGCGGACGGTGAACAAGCCACAGGGACCAGCGCTGGCCATTCAGAAAGTGGGCACATGGGTTATGCTCGCTGGTCTCAGTGTTACTTTCATAAGCAGTTTGGAAAGGGGTCTTCCGTTTGGCCCACATTTAATTAAAGGCAAAAGCCAGAAAAGGCATAACTTAGACTTGAGAGAAAAGTACTTAACGCTTTGTCTTGTGAGGGATGTGCATGGCTACACCCAGGTGTCCCGGATGCCGACGCTCGGAGGGCCACCCACTGGCTGCCCCCCCCCAGGTGTCCCTGGACTGCGAGCAGAAGTCCTGTTCGACCCACGCGGTTCCCGGTGGGAGGCGCAGGCGGGACCGTTCATTCCCTGTTGAATATTCCTGTCCCTGTGTCCACGGGGGTTTGTGTTCCTTCAGTTCATGTTACCACTCACTTATGAAACAAAATGAATATACCTATGGTCTCCAGGTCTCAAAAAAAGATGCGCAGAGTCACACCTCTTTTCATTAAAACGTGAAATACGGATCAAGAGGCACCAAACTGCACAGAAAAGGCGACCGCAGCCCTGCCTTCAGCGTGAACTGTGCAGAATGTATCAACGACAATGGATGTGTTTATTCAGGCGAAACGCACTTTTGGAGGCCAGCTGTGCTCAGACCCTGACCCAGGAAATGAGGTTGGCGGACACAGAAGACAAAGCCATGCTCTCATGTAGGTGACAGTATTTGAAGGTAAAAAAAAAAACCAAACCGGACTATTTAAAATGAACATAATTTCCGACGAAGATAGTCCGTTGGAAGCCAAGTGGAGTCCAAGGGGCTGACGGAGGGTGCGTGAGACGGGACAAACTCCCCGCCCTGAATGTTAAAGCGCAGCCCGGGACTCTGCAGACACAGCTTCAAATAGGACGAGCTCGAAGGGCCCCCGAAGTGCAGCCAACCACAGAGCAGAACCCCCACACCACTGAGCCAGTGGCCCGTGTGTCCCCGGCCAGCCTGCCTGCCTGCCTGCCTGGGGGGCGGAGCTTTGGACGTGAGGCCCACCCCCTCCCTTCCTGCGAGTAACCGAAACGCCCCATAACCAGCCAGGCTCCGTGTGTGAACGAAACACCTCTGTTACCCGCGGGACCAGAAATGCATCCGCTGCCTCCAACACACCGTCCCTCCCACTCGTCCGCCAGGGGGAGCTGGCGCGCGTCTGAGTGCTCTGCTACTTTGTGTTTAGTTTTCAGAGAGGAAAATAGAAACATGTGTCTTTAAATTCTTTAGGGAATATACTGGGCATTACGCAAAGGTAAATTTAAACATGCTAGACAAAATGTGAGTATTACTAGAATGATTTTTACATAGGTAGAAAAGTCACGAATTGGGTAAGAAGTAAGAGTTTGATTAGCTTCTGTTCTTTCTGAATTCTGCCAGGGCACCTTCCAGGTGGCCTCAACCTGTGAGCTTGCAGCTCCGGGGACGCTCCTGACTGCGCAGCATGTTTGGAGGGGTGGCTCTAAGGAAGAGAAAGGCGTGCGTATTTAAGGAAAAAGGCCAATTTTAATTTTGGGAACTAGGCAGCAGATTTAGCACACAACTGGCTTGGTTGTCAACTTTTTTTCCCTAAGAAACACGAGCTGTACCAGAACAAAAGCTGCCGTGTTTACAGCACTTGGCACACACCTTTGGGTCCCAGCCCCGAACACAAACAGGGCCCTTCCACCAAGGGGGCTCTCGGCCGGTTTTTCTCGGGTCTGAATTGGTGGTGATAAATACCCTTTTCTGAGACACCTATTTTGTTCAACGTCTCCACTCAGTGTTACTAAATAGTACCCACCACGCCACACAGGGTAAATCTCCTAGCTTTGCCACACGACTGAAACACATGCCTTGTGCCGGCTTTACGAGTGCCGCTTGGTGATGGGGACGATGCCGGGCGATGCCAAACGCAAACACTTCCCTCGGCTGCTTTTTCGACTTCGCTCTACAAGGAAGCACAAGATTCGGGCACTTGATTGTCCACTTATCTGTGCATCAGAGCAGCCCTGCTGGGGCAAGGGACGGGGTCTTGGCTCTGCCCGCCAACACTTTGCTGGGAGAGCGGGCAGGTTGTCTGCTGGGGCACATGTCCCGGCGTTGGGTCTCACATGCTAACGGCATCTCGCAGGAGCATGTGGCCCTGCACCGGAGAAGGTGACACTGAGTCAATGGCTGATGAGCAATCACACAGAGAGGCCACGGATGGACCGCGTCTCCCACAGTTCACGCACTGGACTCCTGACTCCCACGTGGCTGTGTCTGGGGACGGGGCCTCGAAGGAGCTAATTAACGTTAAATGCGGCCATTTAACCTTGAGCTTGTTCATGGGGGCAGGGCAAACATGTTAACTAGGTTCCATCTGAAGGAGGAACCAAGAATCTTGGGCGAGGAGGAAGTTTTCCACAGCTTGTGTTGCAACTGTTTTCCAAAGATGCTCATCGATAAGAATCTTTTGGGATCCATCACGTGCACATCCGTGATCTTACAGCGGAGCCCGTGTTGGTGACCTTTAAGGTTATGCTGTCACGAAACTCAGGTGTAAAAGGAGAAAACACTATGAGACAGAATAGAGAAGGTCAGACTTTGAGGAACCGAGAAAGGCGCTACATCAGGTTCTGTTAGGTGGGATCCAGCTGAAAAAAGCACGAATAATAAAGTCTTTGAAATCTATTGCCCCCGGTTCTTTGACTCCAGGGGTTTTTGTGTATTTCCAGCTATGCCAGCTCCATAGTTCTATGGATTTAAAAGTGTACTGAAACAGCAGAAATGGTTCTGTAGTCATTGTTGTTGTTCATTCCAGCCTAAAACGATGTTTCCATCTTCTTGATTAGGGCATAATCACGCACTATAAAACTCACCACATCTAAGTAAACATGGACGGATTTTCGTTTAATTTGGTGAATTTGACTAAAGTGTATAGTTCTGCCCTGGCCTCCGCTGGTCAGAGCGTCGTCCTGACGCACCAGGGCTGTGGGTCCCATCGCAGGTCGGGGCCCAGACAAGAAGCGACCCAGGGATGCGCCAGTAAGTGGAACAACGAATCGCTGTCTCTGTCTCTCAAATCAATACAAAAGGTCAGAGGGCACAGTTCCACCACCTCCAGCGAAGTCAGGCTCTAGAATGTTCTTGTTCCTCCGAAGGTCCCTCATGTTGCTTCCAAGTTCTTCCCTCCCCTGCCCCCGGCTCCTGGAACTGGTGATGTGATTTCCACGACCACACCCTCTTCAGAAATCTGGGGAGTGGGGTCACGTAGCCCCTACATTCAGCACTCCACTCCTTTCACGGAGCATAAAGGCCTTGGGGTTCCCCTGGGGGTCTCGGACGGCACAGCCACCCCCTTTCCATGGCTGAGCAGCCCACTCTCTGGGGAGACCACACGGGGTTATCTGACTGCAGTGAGTGGGCCCTCGAGGCACTGTGCGTCGGGGTCTTGTGCATGGAGGCTTACGGACACGGAAGCCCGAGGCTTTGCGTGGACACGTGTGCATTTCTCTTGGGTCGACAGCCAGGCGTGACACTGCGTGGCCACGTCAGCGGTGCCTGCTGCGCCCAGACCCCTATCCTCACCGAGCGGATGGGGACCATTTCCACGCGCCCCACGGGGCAGCTCTTCCGTTTAAACCCGTAATTCGGGCCCACAAACAAACAAGCACCCAGACTTCCCAACGGCCTCTCCGAGCACGTGTTTCTGACTCATCTTGGTCACTGTGGAAATCAGTGTGGGGCGGCCTCAGACAATTAAAAACGAAACTGCCTCCTGATGCAGCGATTCTGCTTCTGGGAGTAGGTCCTGAGAATCAGGAAACACTAATTGGAAAAACATAAGCACCCCTGTGTTCCTTGCAGCATCATTTACAATTGCCAAGGTTTGGAAGCAGCCTGAGGGCCCACCGGTAGAGAACTGGATAAACAAGCTGTAATACATTTGCACAGCAGAATACTACTTGGCCGTAAAAAAGAAGGGAATCTTTGCCCAGCACGGATGGAGCTGGAGAGCATTATGCTGAGTGAAATAAGTGAGTCAGAGAAAGACACACACGCTACGATGTCACTTATATGTGAAATACAAGGAACAAAACAAAGAAAATAGAGGCAGACTGGTGGACACAGAACGGACTTCTGGGTGCCAGAGGGGTGGGGGTTGAGGGCCTGGGGGGAAGGGGACGGGACTGAGAAGGACACAGGCTACAGTCACTAGCAGTGTGATAACCTGCCGGGTGCTGGGAAGCCCAGGTGTCATTTTACGAAGCGTATGTATCCGACCGCCTCGCTGCACACCCAGGACCGACACACAGTGACCCTGAATGTCAACTGTATAAAGGAGCAATAAACTAAGAATAACAATACTTGATTTAACGTACTTCTTCCTTAACTATAAATAGGGGCACACATTTATCAGACTGGGAAGCCAATTTGCCCGCAAGTGCAAACTAAATATAGGGCGATTTTACGAAGGGTTATTGCACGTGTTTGACAGCACCATTTGTGGCCCAGTTTAGCCTGTTTCTGCAGAATTCCATTTTCTCTGAATAAGAATTCGGGACACGCCGACTGGCCGCCCACCCGCCCCGTCACCGCCTCACTGAGAGGAAGTGAACGGAACACTCGCGAGGTCCGTGTAACAGGCGGTTGGTGCGGAAACACACGCAGCTTCGCTGTCGTGCCTCGGGTCCCAGAGAGCGGGGGAGGCGAGGTGCTTCCGTGGGTGTCCTCGTAGCTGCGGTAATTGTGCATAGTGGGGTCATAAAAATGACCCCGAGAGTGTCACCAGGGTATCATATGTGGGCAGAGACAGACTAAAGAAGAAAATGCTGTGTTTTTTGCTGTGAAAAAGCATCGCTTCCTTCACTGTTGCTTCAGGATGAATGATTCCTTCAGTGAGAAAACCCCCAACCCCAGACGCAGCGTTTTCTTCTCTGTGAGGTCCCACGGCTCCCGAGAAGGCCATCCCGTAACCTCTGTGATGTCTGC